TTGTATTATTGTGTAGGCATCGAATTGTGCCATTTTGTAAGCTGCCCTGAGTCCCCCCTCGGGGGTTGAGAATGGCGGGGTAGAAGTATACAAAATAAATAAATAGATAAATACATATTACTATATTATATTATACCACTATACTGCAATGTTTGCCATATTATATGTAATATATAATATACAATTGTTATATTTTATTATTCTTAGTATATTATATTTTAGTATTATGATCAATATTATATGTACATACAGTATATTATCTTATTAGCATAGCGCAATATTATTATTATATATTACTATATTGTACTATACCATTATACTGTAATATTTTTTCTTTGTTTTCCTTTCCTTTTTCGATAGGCAGCTGTTCAGGATCGAAGGCGTTAAAAGCATCTTCTTTGGGGCCGACTTCATCACGGTCACAAAGGTAGGCCCCAATCATCCTTGTTTACAGCATTCTGCCTTTAAAACATGCTTTTCCTGCTTCTTGGCAGAAGGGGTTTGGACTGGATGGCCCACAAGGTCTCTTCCAACTCAACGATTCTATGATCCTATGCTTCAAAATAGACGGCAGCAAAGATTTGTGTCTGGGTTTTTTGTTTTTGTTTTGTTTGTTGCACAAAGCTCTGCCTTGTTTTCTCCCCATTGCAACCAGAGGAGGAAGATTTTTCCAAACTTCGTTGCCAGACCCCATTTATCACCCCTTCTTTCTTTCTGTTTTTGCAAAACTCTGTAAAGGATTCCTTTTTTAAAAGACACATTAAAGCAGTTGCTGGTTAATGGTTCTTTTCCCACGGGAAACAAACACAATGGAGAAAAAAACCCCACACAAAAAAACAAACACAATGGAGAAAAAAATGCATAGACTGCTTTAAAAATGTAGTCGAGTCTCACTCGAGGAGACTCGCAGTAAAAGTCATAGAATCCTAGAGTTGGAAGAGACCTCATGGACCATCCAGTCCAACTCCCTGTCAAGAAGCAGGAAAATCACATTCAGAGCACCCCCAACAGATGGCCATCCAGCCTCTATAATCCATATTTCAATGTTGCATATTGCAAGTGCAATATAACAATATAACATTGCAATGTTGCATATTGCGATATATTAGACTATAATGCATTGCAATATTACATATTGTAATATAATAATATAACATATTTCAGAATTGCATATTGCATTTTGCAATATATTGGAATATAAGATATATTGCAATGTTACATATTGCCATATAACAATATAACATTGCAATGTTGCATATTGCAATATATTACAATATAATGCATACTGCAATGTTGCATATTGCAATATAACAATATAACATATTGCAATGTTGCATATTGCGATATATTACAATACAATGCGTATTGCAATGTTACATATTGAAATAAAACAATATAACATATTGCAATATTGCATTTTTCATTTTGCAATATATTGGAATATAACATATATTGCAATGTTGCATATTGCAAGTGCAATATAACATTGCAATGTTGCATATTGCAATATAACAATATAACATATTGCAATGTTGCATATTGCGATATATTACAACACAATGCATATTGCAATGTTACATATTGAAATAAAACATTATAACATTGCAATGTTGCATATTCCATTTTGCAATATATTGGAATATAACATTGCAATGTTGCATATTTCAAGTGCAATATAACAATATAACATTGCAATGTTGCATATTGCGATATATTACAATATAATGCATATTTCAATGTTGCATATTGAAATATAACAATATAATATTTGCATTATTGCATATTTCAAGTGCAATATAACAATATAACAGTGCAATGTTGCATATTGCATTGTATTACAATATAATGTATATTGCAGTGGTACATATTGCAATATAACAATATAACATATTGCAATGTTGCATATTGCATTTTGCAGTATATTGGAATATTAACATATATTTTCAATGATGCATATTTCATATTGCAATATAACAGCAATTTATTCATTCTACAGTGTATATGCGCCCATGTTTCAACTCAGTGGCACCTTGGAGACCATCTTTTTTTTCAGAAATGTTTTCTCTGCCTTAAGTAAGAAAAGATGTCCATTGCAGAACAGCTGCAATTCATGAAGCTCTTTCTCGAAAACCTTTCTAGGAAAGCGAGGACGTGGATTGGAACTTAATAAAGCCAGACATTTACGCCACAATCATGGACTTCTTTGCCTCCGGCCTCCCTGTCATCACTGACGAGGCCCCTCGCCCAGAGACAGGTGAGCGGATGATGTTCTGAAGTGGAAAAGGTGGACGTCCAAGGTGGAGGCAAAGCGGCAACTTGAAGAGTCCACCCCTTCATGTTCTCCTTGCCGACTTCCAGGCGCAACATCATCATCACAACCATTGTCCTTACTTGTACCTGTCTTTGCTCTTGGGAACTGAAACCCAAAGCAGTTCACAATCGTAAGGAATGTACAAAAACTGGGGAGTTTTATTCCAGATTCATTTAGAGAATCTCTGTTGTCAATCAGAGAGAGAGAGAGATCCTATTTATGCCATCAGGTATAGGCATAGTTAGATAGATAGATAGATAGATAGATAGATAGATAGATAGATAGATAGATAGATGATAGATAGATAGATAGATAGATCTTTTATATTTTATATTATAATTATATATTTTATATTACATGATATTGTACTATGCTAATAATATAATATATTGTATGTATGTATGTATGTGTATATATATATATATATATATCTTGTAAGCCGTTCTGAGTCCACTTCGGGTGAGAAGGGCGGCATATAAATGTTGTAAGTAAGTAAATAAATAAATAAATAGGGATGGATAGATAGATCACTAGATAGATCAGGAAAAGGGATGGATGGATAAGAGATAGGAATCAGGATATAGGGATGGATAGGTCAGGAATAGGGATAGATAGATAAATCGATAGATACAGATTATAGGGATGGATAGATCGATCAGTAGATCAGGAATAGGGATGGATGGATAAGAAATGGGGATAAGATATAGGGATGGGTGGATGGATTAGGAATAGGGATAGATAAAAGATAAGCATAAGGGTGGATGGATAGATAAGTAGGTAATGAATAAGCATGGATAGAGAGAAAATAGGAATGGATGGATGGATAAGATAGGAATGATAAAGATAGGGATGGATAGATCGATTAATCGGTCAGGAATAGGGAGGGGTAGATAGATAAGGAATAGGAATGGGTAACGAAAGAGAATAGGGATGGATGGATAGATGGATCTATAGATAGATAGATAGATAGATAGATAGATAGATAGATAGATAGATAGAGTAAAGAGAATAGGGATGGATGGATGGATGGATGGACGGACGGATAGATAGATAGATAGATAGATAGATAGATAGATAGGGGATAGGGATGAATAAATAAATCAGGAATAGGGATGGATGGATGGATAAGAGAATAATGATAAACATAAGGATAGATAGATTGGTCAGTCAGTCTTGAATAGGGATGGATAGATAGATAAGGAATAGTAATGGGTAGAGAGAATAGGGATGGATGGATGGATGGATAGATAGATAAGAAATAGGAATGAAAAGAGAGAATAGGGATGGATGGATGGATAGGGATGAATAAATAGATCAGGAATAGGGATGGATGAATAAGAGATAGGAATAATGATAAAGATAGGGATGGATAGATTAATCAGTCGTCAGGAATAGGGATGGATAGATAGATAAAGGGATGGATAGGGAGAGAGAAAATAAGGGTAGATAGAGGGATGGATAGATACATAGATACAGAGAGAGAGAGAATAGATCTTAACACCGGCCATTGTTTCTGTTATTCTCAAGCTCCCTCTGAGGAAGATGACGAAGTTGTGCTTATGATAAAAGAGCTGCTGGACACCAGGATAAGGTACATCCATCACTTTATTGGATCTAATGTGTAGGTTTAAAGCAGGGGTGTGTGCGTGTGTGTCAGGGAGTCCCAAATAATAACAATAATTATTATTATGATGTAAACAACAGATATATTACCATAAAACAAATATCACAACCAAAGACGAGGTTGTCTTCTCCCCAAAGGCATTTTGTTATTATATTTATTTTTATAGGCCACTTTTCCCTCTCTTAAAAAAGTTTAAAAATGGCTAAACGTTCCTAAAAGGATGTCCAATTCAGTCCACTGAAAACAGCAAAAGCAAATGCCTATATACAGACAACAAAAATGAAATGTACCCTTGAAAGGTACATGACCTGGCAACATCACATATGGGAATTACTACTACTACTACTATTTTACTGACATAAAAGCACAGTATGCCACAGTAAATGAGATCTATATGCTGGATTTTGTATCATAAAATCACAAGTCAAACACTTCCCAAGCGTCTAGGACTGTGTGATGTATTTTTGAATGATGCGTTCAGATCCAAGTAAGGCGACCTTTTGCAGTTGACAATGTTTGTCAATGTTTATTGTTTCCAAATGCCGGCTAAGGTCTTTTGGCACAGCACCCAGTGTGCCAATGACCACTAGGACCACCTGTACTGGTTTATGCCAGAGCCTTTGCCATTTGATTTTGAGGTCCTGATAGCGGCTGAGTTTTTCCTGTTGTTTTTCCTCAATACGACTGTCACCTGGTATTTATTTATTTATTTATTTATTTCCGATACTTTTACCCCGCACTTCTCAACCCCCGAGGGGGGACTCAGGGCGGCTTACAAAAAGGCACAATTTGATGCCTGTACAGTTACACATAATATACAATCATAGTTAAAATAATTATCACAGTTAAAATAAACGAAACAATCAATATACAACACATCATATAGAAACTATTCACATGCTCAGCATTCGTCTTTCCGGGTTCCAATTCCGTTCCAGTTTGACATTTCCTGGACATCGTCATGCCCTTTCTTTACCTGCCCGGTTGTCCAAAAGCCTGGTCCCAAATCCATGTCTTTAGTTTTTTCCTGAAAGAAAGGAGTGAGGTCGCTGATCTAATCTCCCCGGGGAGCGAGTTCCACAGGCGGGGGCCACCACCGAGAAGGCCCTGCTCCTCGTCCCCGCCAGCCTCACTTGTGATAGAGGCGGGGTCAAGAGCAGGGCCTCCCCAGCCGATCTTAAACTCCAGGGTGGGACGTAGAGGGAGATTTGTTCGGACAGATACACTGGGCCAGAGCCATATAGGGTTTTGTAGGTCAAAACCAGCACATTGAATTGTCCTCGGAACTGGATCGGCAGCCAGTGGAGCTGACACAACAGGGGGGTGGTATGCTCCCTGTATGACGCTTGGCTGCCTTCCCCTGGACTAGTTGAAGTTTCCGAACAGTATGGCAACATCAATAATCCAAACTTTTTTCTTTTCCACAATCGTGATGTCTGGTGTTCCAAAACTTTGTCACTCTGGATTCAAAAGTCCTACATTATTTATCCGTGTTCATTTTGCACGACCTTTGCAGGTTTATGATTCCACCAATTCTTTACTGCTGGTAGGTGGTACTTGTGACATAAGTTCCAGTGAATCATTTGGGCCACAGAGTTGTGACTCTGTTTGTAGTCTGTCTCGCGATTTTCTTGCAACAGCTGAGAATATGGTCCATGGTTTCATCAGCTTCCTTGCACAGTCTGCATTTTGGGTCATCCGCTGATTTTTCGATTCTGGCCTTAATGGCATTTGTCTCCTTCAGTGTTCCACTCATGAGCCATAACCAGGTCTTCTCTCTGTTCTTCTCTGCTGGACGGTTCTCTGTGGATGCAATATTGGCTGCAGTTTTTTTTTGTGGCGTCTTTTGCTGCAACTTATGCTCTTAGATAGGCAAACAGCCGTGTTTGGTCTGACACGTTGCGCCCTAAACGCCACACATGCTCTAGTTCCCTCTGCATACACTTCATGGCTGCCAGCTCTTTGTTGAACCAAGGCTTTAACAATGTATTTTTCAAATATATTTCTATGTTTAGTTCTCTTTTAATGTTTTTACGTGTTAGAGCCAGAATAAGAACCCCAGAGGCCATCCAGTCCAGACCTTTCCTCAATCAAGATCTGTGTTTTGAGGAATGATCTGAACTAGATGAGACTCCTTTCTAGCTCTGGGATTCTCCATGCTCTGTGAATAGAGAGCTTTTATGGCTCCGAACGGTAAATATTTGCTTCAATATCAGAAAGTCAATATCAGTGGGACATGAGAGAGAACCTTTTTGTGCCCAAAACGAGAAGCAAAGCTCTGAATGGGAGGCTTCACTTTGCCAGCTGCTGCAAACACCAGAAACCCATTGGCTGCAATAAAATTGATACAAGCCACTCTGAATGAATGCATTCATTCTGTGCAAGAAGAAGCACAGAGCCTCTGTAGGGATATAATGGTGACCAATGTTAGTTGGTTTCTGCTTCTACCAACTTTTGCCATAAATTCAAATAGTTAGAATAAATAGCCTGATGCATTTTGAATGAGGGGCTCTTGCCTGAATCGCTCTTTAAAAGCTGCTCTTTATCTATTTATTTTAATTGGGATTATTATTGTTATTATTATTATGTTTATGTTTATTTATACCCTGCTTTATCTCTCCCAAAGGAGACTCAAAGCTGTATCTATTATGTTTATATTTATTTATACCACACCTTATCCCTTCCGAAGGAAAACCCAAAGTGGCTATGTATCCATTATTATTATTATTATTATTATTATTATTATTATTATTATTATTTATACCCTGCTTTATCTCTCCCAAAGGAGACTCAAAGCTGTATCTATTATTATGTTTATATTTATTTATACCACACCTTATCCCTTCCGAAGGAAACCCAAAGCGGCTATGTATCCATCATCATCATCATCATCATCATTATTATTATTATTATTATTATTATTATTATTATTTATACCCTGCTTTATCTCTCCCAAAAGAGACTCAAAGTGGCTATGTATCTATTATTATTATTATTATTATTATTATTATTATTTATTTATACCCTGCTTTATCTCTCCCAAAAGAGACTCAAAGTGGCTATGTATCTATTATTATATTATTATTATTATTATTATTATTATTATTTATACCCTGCTTTATCTCTCCCAAAAGAGACTCAAAGTGGCTATGTATCTATTATTATTAATAATAATAATAATAATAATATGTCCATTTATATCCTGTTTTATCTCTCCCAAAGGAGACTCAAAGCGGATACATATCTACTATTAGTTTTAGCATGTATTATTGAGGGAAAGACCAATGAGAGGAAGAGAGAGCCCGTTCCATCTTCTGGACCCTTTGCCCTCCCTGTTTTTCAGGCCAACGGTCCAGGAAGACGGGGGCGATGTTCTCTTCAAGGGCTTTGAAGACGGGATCGTTCAGCTGAAATTGCAGGGCTCCTGCACCAGTTGCCCCAGTTCCATCATCACCCTCAAGAACGGGATCCAGAACATGTTGCAGTTCTACATCCCAGAGGTCGAAGGCGTGGAGCAGGTAGGCAACCTTGGGAAGGAAGGCCTTTTGGGGTAATGAAGAGACAAAGGTTGGAATAATTGAAATCCGTCCCATTTGCTTTGACATAACAAATATTCAAAAAATTTGCTGATAATAACTGTTTAACTCAGGCATGGGCCGAACAGCCGGTATGCTGTTTGGAATTATGGGAGTTGGAGTCCAAAAGAGTCCAAAACACCTGGAGGTCCGAAGTTTGCCCATGCCAGTTTTCAGTTTTTCTGGATGTAGGTGAACTACAACTCCCAGATTCTGAGGGCAATGACTCCCAAGCTCCGCCTGTATTCACAGTTGGGCATGTTGGGTCTGTGTGCCAAGTATAGTCCAGATCTGTTAATGATGGGGTTCAGAGTGCTCTAGGTTCAGGAAACTGCAACTCCCACATGAGTGGGTCAGTCGCCCACAAATACCTCCAGTATGTTCTGTTAGTCACCAGGGTCCTGTGTGCCATGTTTTGTCCAGATCCGTCATTGGTGGGGTTCAGAGTGCTCTGGATTCAGGGTGAACTGCAACTCCCACACATCATCATCATCATCATTATTATTATTATTAGACCTTTAAGCATTGGAACGTCATGGCAGTGTATGGCATGGAGATACATTGACCATAGAGTTAAATAGAATCTTCTGATGAAACTCTATAGCGGGATACAGGAATTCAGGCTTTTGCTCAGCCATGTCTTTCTAAAAAGTCAATTAAAAAGTTAATAATAATAATAATAATAATAATAATGTTTATTTATATCCCGCTTTTTCTCTCTATACGGAGACTCAAAGTGGCTCACAATTAAAAGCATTACAATGCAACTTAAAATATAAAAATATGCAAATATTAAAAAAGCATCATTATTATATACTACTATTAGTATACTATTAGTATTATATTGAATATATTTATTTATTTACAGCATTTATATGCCGCCCTTCTCATCCCGAAGGGGACTCAGAGCAGCTTACAAGATATTTACATACAATATATTATATTATTAGCATAGTACAATATCAGTATTATATATTACTATATTGCACTATACCATTATATTGTAATATTATTAGTAATATTACATGTAATGTAAATATATAATTATAATTCTAATATTGTATTATTATTACTAGTATTATATTGTATTACATTATAATATTATAAATATTATATGTATATACAATATACTGTATATTGTGATATAAGCAGAAGACAAGATGGAAATGTCTTCTGCTCCCCTCTTTCCTCATTATTTTTATATATGGTATTATTAGTATTTTATATATGGTATTATTAGTATTATATTGTATTACATTACAATATTATTAATATTATATGTATATATAATATATTATATTGAATTATATTGCATTATATTGTGTTACAATATTACTCATAGTATTATACATAGTATACAATATATTATTAGTATATAATACTACTAGCCGCTCCCTGCCACGTGTTGCTGTGGCCCACATAGGGGTTCTGTGTGGGAGGTGTAGCTTAATTCTATCGTTGGTGGGGTTCAGAATGCTCTGTGATTGTGGGTGAACTATAAATCCCGGCAACTACAACTCCCAAATGTCAAGATTCTATTTCCCCCAAACTCCACCAGTGTTCACATTTCAGCATATTGAGTATTTGTGTAGAGTTTGGTCCAGATCTATCTTTGTTTGAGTCCACAGTGATCTCTGGATGTAGGTGGACTACAACTCCAACACCAAAGGACATGGCCCACGAAACCCTCCCAGTATTTTCTATTGGTCATGGGAGAACTGTGTGCCAATTTTGGTTCAATTCCATCGTTGGTGGAGTTCAGAATGCTCTTTGATTGTATGTGAACTATAAATTCCAGCAACTACAACTCCCAAATGTCAAAATGCTATTTTCCCCCAAACTCCACCAGTATTCACATTTGGGCATATTGAGTATTTGTGTAGTGTTTGGTCCAGATCTATCATTGTTTGAGTCCACAGTGATCTCTGGATGTAGGTGAACTACAACTCCAAAACCAAAGGACACTGCCCACCAAACCCTTCCAGTCTTTTCTGTTGGTTATGGGAGAACTGTGTGCCAAGTTTGGTTCAATTCCAACGTTGGTGGGGTTCAGAATGCTCTTTGATTGTAGGTGAACTATAAATCCCAGCAACTACAACTCCCAAGCAACAAAATCATAATTTTTTGAGTGGTGGTCACTCCTTGTGTTGTGAGACGTTTTGTTGCCAAATTTGGTGTGATTTCGTTCATTGGTTCTTTTGTTTTTAAGGTACTCATTATGCACAGAGCATTTGTATATATAGATTTTATATATATATATAGATAGATAGATAGATAGATAGATAGATAGATAGATATATAGATTATTAGTATTTTATATATGGTATTATTAGTGTTATATTGTATTACGTTACAATATTATTAATATTATATGTATATATAATATATTGAATTATATTGCATTATATTGTGTTACAATATTAGTCATAGTATTATACATAGTATACAATATATTATTAGTCTATTATACTATTAGTATTATATATTATACTGTATTATTTTATAAATAGTTCTTCTGTCATCTGAGATATGGGAGGAAAAATGGCAGTGAGGAATAATTTCCTTTGAGATACATTACAGTTTAGAACAGTGGTTCTCAACCTTCTTAATGCCGTGGTCCCTTAATACAATTCCTCATGTTGTGGTGACCCCCAACCAACATATTGTTTTCATTGCTACTTCATAACAGTCATTTTACTACTGTTATAAATCATAATGTAAATATCTGATATGCAGGATGCATTTTCATTCACTGGACCAAACTGGGCACAAATACCCAATACACCCAAATGTGAATGCTAGTGGGGTTGGGGGAGGGTTGATTTTGTAATTTGGGAGTTGTAGTTGCTGGGATTTATAGTTCACCTATAATCAAAGAGCATTCTGAACTCCACCAGCGATGGATTTGAACCAAACTTGGCTCCCATGACCAATGGAAAACACTGGAAGGGTTTGATGGGCATTGACCTTGAGTTTGGGAGTTGTAGTTCACCTATATCCAGAGAGCACTGTGGACTCATGCAATGGTGGATCTGGACCAAACTTGGCACGAATACTCAATATGCCCAAATGTGAATACTGGAGTTTGGGGAAAATAGATCTTGACATTTGCGAGTTGTAGTTGTTGAGATTTAAGGTTCATTACAATCGAAGAACATTCTGAACTCCACCAATGATAGAATTAGCTCAAACTTCCCACATGGAATCCCCATAAACAACAGAAAATACTGTGTTTTCTTATGGTCTTTGGCGACCCCTCTGACACCCCCTCGCGACCCCTTCAAGGGTCCCGACCCCCAGGTTGAGAAACACTGGTTTCGAATGTAAAGTTTCATCACCAGACATTTCCGACTTGTTTTTGGAAGCGAACAAATTGTCCGCCATTGACATCAATGCGAATGGTTCGTCTCCAAATCTGCTCAAGGGATATATATATATATATATATATATGGATCCCGACGTTATCTTCTTTTCTCCAATTAATTTTGATAATCATTACAATACTATGTTGCCTTTCAGGTGGTGGATGAGAACGATAACGAAGAAAAGGAAGCAAACCCGACCTGAATCGGGGAGGGTTGGGACTCTTTTAACAAAAGGAGTGAGTTTCTTTGTTGTCTCTGCAAAAAAGGCCACATTTTCCAGAAAATTGAGACTGTTTTCAGGGCGACTCCACAATTCTGGAAGAGGCGAATTCATATTTGAAGTAGCTTCTATTTTCTTGGATGAAAATGTGCAGAGCATCTCTTATTATTTTCACTTTTGTGCAGTGACTTTCAGAAATGCAGTGTTAGATATTGATAAAGCAACAAGGCCTTGCTAATGCCCGTCATCACTCATTGTTTTGTTGTCTTTTTAAAACTTTTTTTAAAATTGGTAAATCAAACCATACAATTCACTATTCTGGACACAAGATGGCAGGAAAGGTGTAACAAATGGATATACAATGACTCCGCTAAGGCTGAAAAATCCACTAATTTGAAGACCACTGTGAAGTTATGGAGTTTTTACTGGGACCAAGCGTTAAGGCTATTGTTCTTTCTTTCTAATTATTACAAGGAAACTGTCACCTTTTATCATTAACAAACAACGATATTAAGATTTGTTGATATTCGAAAACATTTTATTTTGTTTGTTTTCTTAATTTTTATATCCATACTAGCTTGGGTACCTGGTGATGCCTGGGTTATTTAAAAAAGGCATTGTTTGTTTTGGGGTGTTAGGTAATATCATTTAGTAACACTATTTATGAATGCTCCCTTTAGAAAATACATAACAATGTGGGTGAACTACAATTCCCAGAATATGGGTCAATCCTCCCCAAACCAGGCCTGCATTCACAGCTGGCCATGTTGAGTCTGTGTGCCAAGCTTGGTCCAGATCCGACTTTGGCTGGGTTCCATGCTCTCTGGATGCAAGTGAACTACAACTCCCAAAATCAAGGTCAATTCCCTGCAGGATGTACAGTTGGTCATTCTCTGTCCCCAGTTTGGTCCTGGTCCATTGTCAATGGGGGTCACAGTTTCTCTGGATGGTGAACTACAACTTGCAGATTCCGAGGGCAATCACCATCAAACTCCGCCTGTCCTGAAATGTGTCAGGTTAAAAAAGAAACCTGGTTTACTCATAACTTACTTAACTAGTTAAATTCTTGGGTATTCCAGGTTTTGAGAGGGTTAGAACCTTTTCGGCGGGGGGGGGGGTAGAACCCTTAACCCCCACCACCCCCCACCCCCGGCTACGGCCCTGGGTTCAGAATGCTCTGGATGCAGGATGAACTACACCTCCCATGCAAGTGGGTCATTCCCTCTTCAACCCCTTCTGTTGGCCATCAGGGTTCTGTGTGCCACATATATTCCAGATCCACCATCGAGGGCTTCAGAATGCTCTTTGGATGCAGGTTGAACTTCAACTCCCACGCCGGTGGGTTGGTCCCCCCATATACAACTCCAGTGTGTTCTGTTGGTCATGTGGTTTTGGGCCCCAAGTTTGGTCCAGATCTGTCATTGGTGGGTTTCAGAGGGCTCTGGGTGCAGGGTGAACTACAATTCCCATGCAGGCGAGTCAGGTCCCCAAAGCCATTAGTATCTTCTCTTGGTCACCAAGGTTCTGTGTGCCATGTTTGGTCCAGATCTGTCATTGGTGGGGTTCAGAGTTCTCTGTGTGCAGGGTGAACTGCAACACCAATACAAGATTGGTTGGTCCCACCAGAAACACCTCCAGTATGATATGCATTTGAAGTGTGGTCCAGATCTGTCATTGGTGGTGTTCAAAGTGCTCTGGATGCAGGATGAACTATAAGTCTCATGCAGGTGAATCAGTTCCCCACAACCTTCCAGTATGTTCTATTAGTCGTGGGGATTTTGTGTCCCAAGATTGGTCCAGACCCGTCATTTGTAAGGGTCGCAGTGATCTCTGGAAGTGGGTGAAGGTACTGCACATCCATTGCCTGTGGTCCATCCTCCCCCAAATCTCACCAGAGAAGGGAAAAATAATTGAAAGTGAGGGCATGAATATGCTGTAGTATGCCCAGATATTTATAGGCCTCTGGCTGGTGACACTTTATCGCTTGGCCATTGGGCATATTCATGCCCTCACTTCCAATTATTTTTCCCTTCTCCAGTGCCACTGTCGAACATTTGTCTAAACAAACTCCATGTTGATATCTGTGCTAAAGATTCAGACAGTGTTAGTCAGAGACTGGATTTCAGTTTCAGTTTTCCCATACAGGTTCAGGTCATCCATGTACAGCAGATGTGAAATTTTGTGAGATCTCTGAGACGTTTGATAGCTGAGGTTTGTTTTTTCTAAGGTTGGTGACAGGTTATTATTATTATTATTTGTAAGGTTATTTTTATTATTAATTTATTGACACAGTATGTCACAGCAAACGAACGAGATTTCCATTGTGGAAAGGAAAAAAGTTAGGATTATTGATGTCACCATACCAGGTGACAGCTGAATTGATGAAAAACAACGGGAAAAACTCGGCCATTATCAGGACCTCAAAATTGAAGGGCAAAGGCTCTAGCATAAATAATAATAAATAATAATAAACTTTATTTATACCCCGCCACCATTTCCCCAGTGGAGACTAACATGAGGCCAAGTCCAAGACGAATACACCGGAACAATACAAAACAATAAAAAAAATTAAACACAAACAAAACACACAATGCAAAAAAAAAATAATGAAATAAACAATACAAAATAACATAATAGAATCAATCACAGAGGACGGGCCAAATGGACAGGAGAAAAATGTTAAAACCCTGGGTGAGGTATTATTTATTTATTTAAAACTTTTATATCCCGATCTTCTCTACCTCCATAGAGGGACTCGCACCGGCTGACAGCAAAAATTCAATGCTAACACTAAAATCTAAAACATCATACATCAACATTAAAATTAACAAAAACATATAAGATAGATATTTATTACATAACAGCCATTTGCCAAGATAAAATCATGTCAACTCAGTCCATATATTCAGTCCATATATTGTGGTCAGTAACTTTGGTCGATTGCTGGTCTTGGACATCATTTCACAAAAGCTTCGTTCCACAGCCAAGTTTTCACTAGCTTCCTAAAGGTCAGGAGGGAGGGGGCAGATCTAATTTCATTCGGGAGGGAATTCCATAGCTGAGGAGCCACCACAAAAAAGGCCCTGTCTCGTTCCCACCAGATGCACCTGCAAAGGTGGCGGGACCGAGAGCAGGGCCTCTCCAGACAATCTTAATACTCTTGATGGTTCATAGGGGAGAATACATTCGGACAGGTAAACTGGGCCGGAACCGTATAGGGTTTTGTAGGTGCTCGGAATTGTGCTCGGAAGCTAATAGGCAGCCAGTGGAGCTGGCGCAACAGAGGAGTTGTACGCTCCCTGTACCCCGCTCCCGTTAGTAGCCTGGCTGCTGAGCGTTGGACTAATTGCAGCTTCCGGGCAGTCTTCAAATGCAACCCCATGTAGAGAGCATTGCAGTAATCTATACGGGATGTAACCAGAGCGTGGACCACAGTGGCCAAGTCAGACTTCCCAAGGTACGGGCGCAGCTGGCGCACAAGCTTTAACTGTGCGAAAGCTCTTCCAGCCACCTCTGAGACCAGGATCACTCCCAAGGTAGGAAATAGGGAAAGTGTATTTGTAAAGGAGGAGCCCAAGATGGGGGAACAGTGGGATTTTGGGCTTCATTGGGTTGGGGAAAAGTGCATCGTGTAAATAAACTGTAGATGGAAACTAACAAAAGGGTTGGGTGGTCACTCTCCGAAGGCACATTGGAAAAACCAAGTTTTTAACACTTTCTTAAATGCTTCTAGGGTGGGAGCCTGCCTAATCTCACCTGGTAATGAGTTCCAGAGTTGGAGGCCCACAGCAGAGAAGACTCTCTCCCTTGTGCCCACAAGTTGTGCTTGTGAAAGGGGAGGGGGCGAGAGTACAGTACAGGTAGTCCCAGCACAGGTGGTCCCAGTGGTTATTGGCACACTGGGTGTTGTGCCACAGCAGAGAAGGCTCTCTCCCTTGTGCCCACAAGTCGTGCTTGTGAAAGATGAAGGGGCGAGAGTACAGTACTGGTGTTCCCAGTACAGGTGGTCCCAGTGGTTATTGGCACACTGGGTGCTGTGCCAAAAGATCTCAGCTGACATCGGAAAACAATAAGCATTCACAAAATCATGATCTGTCAACTTCCTTGGATTTGCGTGCATCATTCAAAATACATCACACAGTCCTAAACGCTTGGGAAGTGTTCAGCTTGTGATTTTGTGATACCAAATCCACCATATAGATCTCCTTTCCTGTGTCATACTGTGTCTTTGTGTCAATTAAATAAGCCCGAAAAATTTACAGAGAATGAACACATCAAGCTACTCTAGGACTTCCGAATTCAGACGGAGAAAGTTTTGGAGCACAATACTCCTGACCTCACGATGGTGTTAAAAAACAAAGTATAGATTGTCGATGTTGCAATCCCAGGCAACAGCAGAATTAACAAGAAACAACTGGAAAATAAATAATCATAATCATCTTTATTTGTACCCCGCTACCATCTCCCCAAGGGACTCGGTGCGGCTTACATGAGGCCAAACAAAACATCAATAAACACAACAGCAATAAACAATCAATAAAATACAAATCATATAAATCACATAAACAAAAAAACAATAAATAGTGACATAAACAAGCTGACACAATATGAGGATTTAGAGATCGAACTGCAAAGACTCGGGCACAAACCAGTCAAGGTGGTCCCAGTGGTGATTGGCACACTGGGTGCAGTGCCTAAAGACCTTGGCCTGTACTTAAACACAATCGGCGCCAACAAAATTACCATCTGCCAACTGCAGAAGGCCACCTTACTGGGATCTGCACACAGTCCTAGACACTTTGGAACTGTCCGACGTGTGATCCAATACAACAGCCAGTAGAGTGTCTGCTGTGGACTCATCTTGTTGTTATTATTCAAATAATAATAATAATAATAATAATAATAATAATAATAATAATAATGACATAAACAATAGTCCTAAATCGTAGTAGTAGTAGTAGTAGTAGTAGTAGTAGTAGTAGTAGTAGTAGTAGTGACATGGTGGGATAAACATTAAAAGGTAAAGGTTCCCCTTGACATGAAATCCAGTTGTGTCTGACTCTGGGGAGTGGTGCTCATTTCCATTTCTAAGCCAAAGAGTTGGTGTTGTCATAGAATCATAGAATCAAAGAGTTGGAAGAGACCTCATGGGCCATCCAGTCCAACCCCATTCTGCCAAGAAGCAGGAATATTGCATTCAAATCACCCCTGACAGATGGCCATCCAGCCTCTGTTTAAAAGCTTCCAAAGAAGGAGCCTCCACCACACTCTGGGGCAGAGAGTTCCACTGCTGAACGGCTCTCACAGTCAGGAAGTTCTTCCTCATGTTCAGATGGAATCTCCTCTCTTGTAGTTTGAAGCCATTGTTCCGCGTCCTAGTCTCCAAGGAATCAGAAAACAAGCTTGCTCCCTCCTCCCTGTGGCTTCCTCTCACATATTTATACATGGCTATCATATCTCCTCTCAGCCTTCTCTTCTTCAGGCTAAACATGCCCAGCTCCTTAAGCCGTTCCTCATAGGGCTTCTTCTCCAGACCCTTTATCATTTTAGTCGCCCTCCTCTGGACACATTCCAGCTTGTCCAAGGTCATGTGGCCAGCATGACTGCATGGAGTGCTGTTATCTTCCTGCCGGAACAGTACCTATTAATCTACTCACATTTGCATGTTTTTGAACTGCTAGGTTGGCTGAAGCTGGGGCTAACAGCAGGAGCTCACCCTGCTCCCTGGATTCGAATCGCCAACCTTTCTGTCAGCAAGTTCTGCAACGCAGCAGTTTAACTCACCAGTGGGGCCTTGGATAAACAATAGTTCTAAATAATGATGATGATGGTATGGTGGGGGTAAACAATTCCTAAATAACAATATGGGATAAATAATAATCCATGCGGGAAAACAGTATGGGAATGTGTCTTCTTATTTAGGACTCTCCAGGATAAATGCCAACGTTCTGTATTTTATTAATGGAAGGGATATCAGATGACGACGGCAGATCCTGTTGCAACAAAGGCATTATTTACCTGCATTTCCTGCCAACGTGTCAATGAAATAATACCTAGCGACTGTTCCTGGACCGGGAGCTCCATCCCCGTGCTGCAACAGGTGTGCTTTGTGTCAATAAGTGACCTGTGCAAAGCAATCGTAAAGGTGACGTTGAAGTTCAGAATGTGCTTTAAGCAGTGTTTGCTGAACATCTATAAAGATAGGATTTACTGCGTTGGAATGTCACTTCCTTTTCCTTGTGTGGAAATTCCCACCGAAAGCAATGGAGCTCCAGCTCAGTTCTGGCCAAAACCAGAAAGATTTAAAGCAGATGTTTAGCATAATCATACCAGGATGATTATATTTATTTATGCCAAAGGAGACCCAAAAATATATTATTTGTATTATATAAAATATATAAAAATAATACTATAATAATAATAATAATGTATGCAACCCAAAGCATACAAGTGTTTAAGAAGAATTAAACAAAGGACTTTGAAAATGTTCAACAGAAAAAGGTGGGGTTGATAATAATACAAAGTATTTTTATTCTATTATTATTATTAATAATAATAATAATAATAATAATGTCATGGTGAGATAATTAATAGTCCAAAATATAATAATAACAACAACAACAACAACAATGGCACAGTGGGGAAATAGTATTCCAAAATATTAATTATATTAATGGCATGGTGAGATAACTAATAGTCAAAATATAATAATAATAATAATAATAATACTAATATTAATAATAATAATAACCATCTGGTGGGGTAAATAATGATAATAGCATGATGGGTTATATAATACTCCAAAATATTATTATTACATCAAAACAACAACAACAATAATAATGGCACAGTGGGGAAATAGTATTCCAAAATATTAATTCTATTAATGGCATGGTGAGATAACTAATAGTCCAAAATATAATAATAATAATAATAATAATAATAATAATAATAATAACCACCTGGTGGGGTAAATAATGATAATAGCATGATGGGTTATATAATACTCCAAAATATTATTATTCTATAATAATAATAATAATAATAATAATAATAATAATAATGGCACAGTGGGGAAATAGTATTCCAAAATATTATTCTATTAATAGAATAATAATAATAATAATAATAATAATAATAATAATAATAATAATAATAATAATAGCATGTTGTGTTATATAATAATCCAAAATTAAAATAATAATAATAATGGCCTGGTGGGGAAAATAATTCTTCAAAAGATTATTACTGTATAATAATAATAATAATAATAATACCGCCCTGAATCGCCTTTGGGCTGAGAAAAGAGGTATATAAATATGGTAAATAAATGAAAAATAATAAAAAATAAGAATAGCATGGTGGGGAAAAAAAAGCTTAAAACATAATAATAATAATAATAATAATAATAATAATAATAGCATGGTGGGGAAAATAATTGTCTAAAATATAATTATTATATAATGGCATGTTGGGATATAGAATAATCCAAAATATTATTCTGTTAATAGAATAAGAATTATAATAATAGCATGTTGCATTATATAATAGTCCAAAATAATAATAATAATATAATAATAATAATAATAATAATAATAATAATGACACAGTGGGGAAAATAGTAGTCCAAATATTATTATGCTGTTAAAATAATAGTCTAAAATATAATAATAATAATAGTAATAATAATAATAATAATAATAATAATAATAATAATTATAGTAATGGCACAGTGGGGAAAATAGTAGTCCAAATATTATTATTCCATTCAAATAATAATAGTAATGGCATGTTGGGGAAAATAATAGTTCAAAATAGTATTATGCTGTTAAAATAATAGTCTAAAATATAATAATAATAATAATAATAATAATAATAATAATAATAATAATGGCACAATGGGGAAAATAGTAGTCCAAAATATTATTATTCCATGATAAGAATAATAAAGACAAGGAGGAAAATAATGCTCCAAAATATTATTATTATATAAAATAATAGTGGGGTATTTAATAGTCCAAAATATGGTATTAATGTCAGTAGTAATAACAGGAGAGAAGAATGGCCCCACTCAATGCCTCAAGGAGGAGGGGGCACTTCCGGGTTGGTTCCTGCCACGTCCGAAGGGGCGGGGCCGGAGGGAGGGCGGGGCGCCTGCAGGGGGCGGGGCACGGCGGGCCAATGACGGGGTACGGCGGGCGCATGCGCGGCTGGCTGGAGAAGAGGGGGCGGGGCCAGGAGAGAGCAGCCTCTTCATTTCCCGGGAAAAAGGAGGAGAAGGAAGGAAGGAAGGAAAGAAGGAGACATGTGTGGTGAGAGAGGGAACAGGGAAGGAAGGAAGACAGGCCTTTATAGTATATTCTCAGCTGCTATTTGGAGATAATTTGTGATATATTCATGTCAATAGGGAGGAGGGGATGTGGGTATGAGGCCTATTGAGGAATGTATGGAAAAGTATGTGTATATATAATATAATATAATATAATAATATATGTATAGGGTGATCCTATAGGGAGAGAGGTTTGTTTGTATATATATTTCTGTGTGTGTGTATGTATATATATAGGGGGTTCTATAGGGAGAGAGGTTTGTTTGTATATATATTTCTGTATATAATGTGTATATATAATATAATATATATAAAGGGTGATCCTATAGGGAGAGAGGTTTGTTTGTATATATATTTCTCTCTCTCTCTGTGTGTGTATATATATATATAGATATATATATATAGGGGGTTCTATAGGGAGAGAGGTTTGTTTGTATATATATTTCTGTATATAATGTGTATATATAAAGGTTTGTTTGTATATATATTTCTGTATGTGTGTGTGTGTATATATATATATATATATATATAAAGGGGGTTCTATAGGGAGAGAGGTTTGTTTGTATATATACTTCTGCATATATATAAATAAATATATCTTTCTTTATGCATAATGCATACAGAAATATTATTTCTGTATACATTATATTATTATATTTTGGACTATTGTTGCACCACCCATCATGCTATTATTATTATTATTATTATTATTATTATTATCATAGAATAATAATATTTTGACATATTTTCACCACCACGTCATTGCTATATTATTATTATTATTATTATTAGAATAATATATATATATATATATATATATAATATATATATATATATAGAGAGAGAGAGAGAGAGAGAGAGAGAGAATAATAATAATAGGCTTGTATGTATATATATATAGAGAGGGGATGTATACAGAGATAGCTATAATTATATATAGTGAGAGAAAAATTATATAGAGAGAAATAGATTTGTGTGTGTGTATCTATATATAGGGATGTATATACAGATAGCTATGATTTTATAGTGAGAGGAATAGGTTTGTATATATATATATATATATATATATATTCATTACTATATTATTATTATAGAATAATAATGATAGGCTTGTATGTATATATAGAGAGAGGGGGATGTATACAGGAATAGCTATGATTATATATAGTGAGAGAAAAGGATATATATATATACATACATACATACATACATACATATATACAGAGAGTGAGGTAGTTGTATACAGAGATAGTTATGATTCTATACAGAGAGAAATAGATTTGTGTGTGTGTATCTATATATATGTATATACAGATGGCTATCTTTCTACAGAGAAAGATATTGTGTGTGTGTACACAGAGAGAAAGGGGGGATGTATACAGAGATAGCTATGATTATATAGAGAGAAATAGGGTTGTGTGTGTGTATGTCTATCTGTCTGTCTATCTATATGGAGAGGGGGATATAAACAGATAGCCATGATTCTATAAAGAGAGATAAATAGGCTTGTATGTATATATAGAAAGGGAGACTTATACAGAGATAGCTATGATTTTATATACAGAGAAAGAAAAATGTATATCTGTATATATATATATATATATATATATATAGAGAGAGAGAGAGAGAGATGTATACAAAGATAGTTATGATTCTATACAGAGATATAGATTTGTGTATATATAGAAAAGGGGAGGACGTATACAGAGAGCTATGATCTTATAGCGAGAGGAATAGGTTTGTATATATTGAGAGAGGGATGTATACAGAGATAGCTATGATTAGAGAGAGAAATAGGTTTGTAAATATATACCTAGAGAGAGGAATGAATTCAGAGATAGTTATGCTTCTGTAGAGAGATATAAGTAGATTTGTCAATATATATAGAGGGGGATGTATGCAGAGACAACTATGCTTCTGTTGAGAAAGAAAGAAATAGGTTTGTAAACACACACACACACACACATATATATATATGGGGTAAGTATGTAGAGATAGTTATACTACTATAGAAAAAGAAATAAATAGGTTTGTAATTATATAAATATATAGGGGGGGAGGGAACTATACAGAGATAGCTATGCTTCTATAGAGAGAGGAAAAGATATGTAAACATATACACTAGTTTTGGGGACCTGGCAATGCCCAGCTTATTTGAAAAAGGCGTTGTTTGTTTTTGGATGTTTGGCCATGTCAGTTTGGTAATGTATAATTCTATTAATTAGAAAAAAAGCCAGTTTTTCCATTGTTTTTTTTAATTAATGCTTCCATTGGAAAATTCATAAGGATGGGGTTGAACTACAATTCCCAGAATCAGGGATCTATCCTCCCCAAACTCTGCCAATATTCACAGTTGGCCATGCTGAGTCTGTGTGCCAAATGTGGTCCAGGTCCGCCATTCGTGGGGGTCGCAGTGGTGTGTGGAAGCTGAAGGGGGTACTGCAAATCCCATCATTTGTGGTCCATCCATCCCCAAACTGCACTAGGACGTAAAGTGGGCCATGGGGGTCTGTGTGCCAAATTTGGTCCTGGTCCATCATTCATGGGAGTCGCAGTGCCCTGTGGAAGTGGCCGCACCGCGTCATACATACATACCAACATACATACAAAGTATTTGTACTAAGTTTGGTACAGATCCATCATTGTTTGGGTTCACAGTGCTCTCTGGATGTAGGTGAACTACAACTCCTATAAATCCACCCAAAGACCATCAATA